ACTGCACCAATAAAACTAGCAGCAATAGGTGAATGTGATGGCTACTGCAGCAATAGGTGAATGTGATGCTTACTGCATCAATAAAACTAGCATCAGTAGGTGAATGTGATGTCTACTGCACCAATAAAACTAGCAGCAATAGGTGAATGTGATGTCTACTGCACGAATAAAACTAGCAGCAATAGATGAATGTGATGTCTACTGCACCAATAAAACTAACAGCAATAGGTGAATGTGATATTAGTTCTCTTGTTTATCCACTCCCATCTGGGTATGTTCTCTTTTAATTATGTAAATCTAATAACATGTTAAAAGGATTGATAATGTTCAATATTACTCAGAAAACCAACAGTACAGAGAAAAACATGAATATATTTTTTTAACTTTGATATATTTGCATTATTGTGCATCATTTTAAATAGAATGAAAATAAAAACTTTATTAGCCATTTATCTAGTGAAGTATAAGTTTGCTATGCTACTTACTTACTAAATACAGGATGAATAAATAACACCGGGAAACAAAAAAAACAACATTTTCTCTACTACTTGAAGAAATACAGCTGTTTCTGAATAACCTGATGATGCTGATTCTAAAACACATGTTGTAAATTACTGATCACCTCTACTTTTTGAGTTATAATATAATTATTCAAAATATTCTTATTTATTGTGAAAATAAAACTTTTTCTTTAATAACTTTATTTATTTATTGAAAATTCCATTTAAGAATGTATAATCTGCATGCTTTGGTAAGTTTCTTTCATGTTCACTGCATGAGAAACAGGAATCAGTGACTTAGTGTTCACAGCATGAGCAACAGGAATCATTGATTTAGTGTTCACAGCATGAGAAACAGGAATCAATGACTTAGTGTTCACAGCATGAGAAACAGGAATCTGTGTCTTAGTGTTCCCAGCATGAGCAACAGGAATCAATGACTTAGTGTTCCCATTATGCAAAAGTACAGCTTTCAGACTAACTTTAGATGAATCGATAAAATTCTCCATTCTTGAGGATGATGTTCAGTACCTAATTCTTCCATTAATGCATCAACATTTGTACAGAAACACAAAGTATCATGCATGCCGTAGTGAGAAGCAAGACTTTGATGGTGACTTCAGCTAATTGAAACTCTTGTTCCTGTAGTTAATAAATTCCATTGCTGTAAACAAGAGCCAAGAAGTTCCTTATACTGCATTAATAGAGAAAAGTCAAGAATAGGATTATTTCACTCTTCTTGTGTGATCAGATGAGGTAGATTATGTTGAAATGCCACAGGAATAGAATTACTAGATGAAGACGATTCATTATCTTCTTTGCAGGATAACTCTTCTGTTTCCCAATTTGCTGGTGGATGTGGCACAAGAAAACTATACCCATGAGGTACTAGATGCAATATCTAGATATTTAATGTATTGTTTAGTTTTCCTGAATATCCAGAAACATTAGTCATGCAAAAAATAACAGTCAGTTAGATGATCTTTGGGCTCACATCATATCTTGGGAACTGCAAATGGCATACTTGCTTTCTTCTTCTTATTCAGCCAGTGTCAATCCAGATGTGCAAACTGTACAACCATACATGTTTAGCCCAATGTTTTTCTTGACCACTAATTTTTACACCCAAAATAATGGTAGTAAGCTACCTTTACCTTGTGTGTGATGTTTTTTCTTCATGAAACTGTAATATTTTTTCTACAAATTTAGGAGAAACTGTTTGGTTGAGTTATGCACTTTCAGATTTTACTCGAACTAGAAGTAGCCAGAGTTTAAAATATTTTAATAAACAAAGTTTTGCAGAATTTGATTATGTCGCAGGTATGATATGAGGAAGAAGGTCAGACTTTGTTTTGAATGTGCACAGAGGGAGGAAAAGTAACCAATTGAGTGAGTGAGAGGCAACTGAGAGAGAGAGGCATCTGACTCCACCCCTTTTATGCTCAGTTGAACAGATTAGCATGGGAAAGAAGCAAAAGTGGTACAATTTGCTACAATTATATAGAGAACAAATAGCATATATGAACAATATATTTGGAATTTTACATCAATACAATATATTCAATATTTGAAGTTATCAAAAATGTATACCTTTTGCCAATTAAACTGTTCAAGTAAACTTAATTTCACAGCATAAATCTATTGGACTGAGTTGATTGCATGGTATTTCACATAGTATGGATAAAATATTGAGATCTTACAATAACTCAAAATCTAGAGGTGATGAATAAATTCTGACTACATTTTTGAAATCAACATCATCAAATTACTCTGAATCATTTCAGTTTACTCCAGAAACAAATTTTTTTGTTGTAACTTCAGTGAAGACCTTTATAGTTAGATGTATTCTGCTCCTTTTATTTTATTTTATAATCTTGTATGTCTAGGTTACAGCCCAAGTCATTAAAGAAGTTTTTGAACCAGTCATCATTGTTCATCTTCAAGCCTCGAAACATGAACATCTTAACTTGAAAAAAAGTGTGAAAAAACTTGTCCTTTTTATCAACAGTGTCTTTTTTCATAGGTAGGTTTGAAAATTTCATTCTTCTCCTAATTTTAACATTTTCAGATTTATTGACAAAAGAAAGGCATCTATATAAATATAATAGTACTGTCTGTTGTCTGTCTATGTAACTACTTCACGGGGTGTGGATGGATCTTCACCAACATTGGTATGGAGGTTCATTAGGTTCCATGCGGGGGTACATAGAAATTTTCAGTTTTGCATTTTATATGGGCATTTTTGCTTATTTGCGTTTTTTACCACTACTTTGCCCCCTGTAGATGGATCTTCACCAAATTTGGTATGGAAGTTCATTGGGTCCATGGGGAGATGCATAAAAACTTTCAGTTTTGCATTTTTTACTACTGCTTCACCCACTCTTGATGGATCTTCACCAAATTTGGTATGGAAGTTCATTGGGTCCATGGGGAGATGCATAAAAACTTTCAGTTTTGCATTTTTTACTACTGCTTCACCCACTCTTGATGGATCTTCACCAAATTTAGCAGGAAGATTTGTTGTGCCATGTGGAGACACATGCAAATTTGTGGTTTCA